GAGAGAGAGAGAGAGAGAGAGAGAGAGAGAGAGAGAGAGAGAGAGAGTATACTTTGTTATCATTTAAACGAAACCAGAACGTCAATCACACAAAATATGTGATGTGATGTTTCCGTTCGTAATAAAAAGCACAGTGATCGGGAGAATGCAGGCAAGAAATCAGTGTATTTAATGTAATGTTGATCTGATTTTTGGTATTTTCATCGCATATTCGAATCCAGTGTACGTACAACGTAATTAGAATCGACAAGTTTTTCGCTTTAATGTAATGAACAAGTGCAAGGGGGAAAGTACTAGATTTGTATAATTCAAATAATGCAATCTAGTACAAAAATAATACCAAATAATCCTTCGGAATTCTCAATAATGTTCAATAATGCTTTTCAAAATATCAATAAATAATAGCGAACTATGGTCAAGTAATTGATGCTTGCGTGCATTTGAATGCCTTGAAAACAAAGTGGGTCGATAGTAGATATGAATTGGTGAGACCTAGAAGAACACAAGTTTGTCAAACGTCGTAGCAATAAAGAGAAGTATATTTTACTGCAACTAACAATGGTTGAGAGAATGTATGTTCATTTTTGGCGGGTCGTCCCGGTTTTTCACGGTTTCCGCGTAACTGATAAGAGATAACAACTAGTTGTCTTCGGAAAAGTTGTAGTACTCAAGATATATAACATATCTATAATATTGCATTATATTTTATCTATTATCAATTGGATGCAAATCAAAAACATCGGCCTATGGCATATATTTTTTTTATCATCCTTCGCGTTTTCCGCGAAACTCACAGGAGATGAGTGGGAACTGTCTGAAGCAAAGTTGCGAAAGGCCTCGTACTATAAATTTTCTGAAGACGCCAAGTCGTTATCTCTTATCAGTTCAGCGAAAAATGCAAAAAATCGGAATTGTACAGCAAAATTCGTGTTTTTCGCTGAACTGATAAGAGATAACGACTTGGCGTCTTCAGCAAATTTATAGTGCTCGAGGCCTTCCGCAACTTTGTTTCAGACAGTTCATCCATCGGCCCATGATGTTTTTGATTTGCGTCCAATTGATAAAAGATAAAAGATAATTGTCTTCAGCAATGTTATAGAGGATCTTGAGTACTACAACTTTCCCGAAGACAACTAGTTGTTATCTCTTATCAGTTACGTGGAAACCGTGAAAAACCGGGACGACCCGCCAAAAATGAACATACATTTATCAACCATTGTTAGTTGCAGTAAAATATACTTCTCTTTATTGCTACGACGTTTGACAAACTTGTGTTCTTCTAGGTCTCACCGATTCATATCTACTATCAACCCACTTTGTTTTTAAGGCATTCAAATGCATGCAAGCATCAATTACTTGACCATAGTTCGCTATTATTTATTGATATTTTGAAAAGCATTATTGGGCATTATTGAGAATTCCGAAGGATTATTTTGGATTATTTCTGTACTAGATTGCATTATTTGAATTATACAAATCTAGTACTTTCCCCCTTGAACAGATGAAGAATTTGATGCCCAGCAAAATTAGTTCCTAGTTATGTTTTGAACTCGGTTCGGCAGTCGTTGGAGGAAAAGAGGAAAAGAGGACAAGAGGAATGTATGTTTGTGTGATGGTATTTGTTCGTTGCATTCAATTCAGATGCTGGTTTCAATTGAACGCTTTTTATCATAGACGGAGAGCAAGAATGCCGCTATAATAGAATGCAACCGAACCAACAACTTCATTAAAGAGTCGCTGCTCTAACACAAAAGAGCTCCGCACAACAAAAACGGTCTGCATTCGTTTCAATGTAATGCATTTCATTTCAAATGGATTTAATCGAATGTACTCTTCAGGCTATTTGCATCAGATGAATTCAATGGTACGACTCGCGTAGAACAAAGAAAGCAAAAAGAGTCACAACAGGAAAACACACACACATACGCTCTTTTTCTATGTGCATGGATTCGCTATCGTATTCTACGCATTTATCTCGTCTCATTTCACATTCAGTATTTTTTTTAATTAAATCCAAAACCACTACTCCTTTACATGTCCATATTCCAGTGGGCGATCAATATACACACATGCCATGGTGACGCACATAGTAAATGATGACATGGCCAAATTCGTTTGGCATTTATTTACAAATCAAAAAAACCGAACAAATCTCTGCGCTCGACTTCAAAGGCGGACACGAAGCAATCGCAGACAAAAAGCGATGTGATATTTATAGCAAATATTTCATTGAATAAAACATTCCAAAGAGTAATGCCGAAAGGATTATCAATGTCTGTTCGGATACAAAGTACATTTTAGCTTCAAGATCCAAATTATAAACGACATTCTCGACGAATATTTCGAGTAATTAAAATAGCAAAATTGTGGAATTTAATTTATGTAACATTTTACCATACACCATGTTTAAATTCTGGTTTCTACATTTCGTGGATGTCAAAAACATGAATGCTTGTGCACAGAGCAACAGAATGCTGCATCGTTCGAAGTCGAATTCCAATGAAATCAGAATTTTCATGCAATCGCCGTGTTTTTGTCGAACAATTATGACAATAGCCGAATGTCAATGTGTGTGTGCAATAGCAAAGCTTTGGCTTACGAATTTCACCAGAAAATCGAAAGGCTCGATGTCAAAGCGAACGAAAATGTATCAATCACAGCTATATAGCCATATGGCTTGCTATACATATCAACATATCAATGAGTACCATTTGAAAATACGAAATTCATGAAAATGTTGAATCTGGATTATGAGCAGAGAAAGAGAGAGTGAAAGGAACGGTAATTATCCACATTTCATGTTTTTCCATAATGAAGCAAATGAAAAGTTGGTGGCGGCGGCGTTATCATCCCTTTTGCCGTTGTGAATCAGTGGATGTAGGCAAAATTATGATAATTTCATTTACGTGATACACAGAAACTGTGAACTGAACGAGAGTCTATCATAGCGATTGCAAATGAGTTGGCAAAATTGCTATGTGCCGACACAATCACATCACCGATCCGTGGTCCCATTTCACCGAAAAAAAGGAAAACAAATCTCAAAAATGGAATAAACCTTTTCTAACTAATTTTAGCACACTGGTCCATGCACGCACACCGAAAAACAATTTCCTTCGCTCTTTCGAGCATATGAAATTAGTTCCCCTTGATAGGCGTTGCGTAGACGGGAATGACGAAAAATCCGAAAAAAGAAGGTTTTCAACGTCGTTTGCCAAAAATAATCTCGAGTATTTCAAAAACCGAGGTATGAGTACCGCATCGGACTGCGATGTTTTCTTCTTCCTCTTCTTCTTCTTTCAGGGAAATAATTAAAAAAGCAAATGAAAGCGAACGCTGTCGGCAAGAATAGCCAACACACATAACTGATGACTTTGACCGTTGTGAAATGGTATGGCGCATCATGATTTTTAATTTCGCCACCTTTTGCCGAAACACAACTAATTTCATTATGATGCGAGAATGTCTTGATGGTTTCGGCGACAAACAAATTCGCGCCAAAAAAATTGTTGTTGGGTCAAACGATGGAGTCGCTTAATCGCTGCTTCTTCTTATTCTTCTTCTTCTTCATTGTCTCGTGTATATTTCGACAACAAACTGCGAATGGCAAAACCCTTTTTTGCGTGTCGCTACAAAATGCTTGAAATGCCATTGTGTCGCGAAATTCGATGCAATTTTCTCTCTACAGGTTGAAATCTTTATCGTTTTCTGAATTTATACGATATTTCAAGTGTGTAGCGTGCGCGCCTCGCCGTCCACTTTGCATGATAATCGTAGCGTACGAAAACTGTATACAAAATAATTACCATTTTAATTTCAATTCTTTGTGCTGTTTTCGGAAAACCATCGTTTGTTTAAAATTTCAGCAAACGCCAAGCAAATGGAAATAATGCAAATTACTTGGTACGCTCTCTTGTTCTTTATTTATTCAGTCACCCTCACCCTGCCTCTTGCGCACTTCTGATAAGTTCGGCCGAAACAACGAAATGAGTGACTCAAATTCCATTTATTCGCATTGCGCCGTTATTGTGAGCAGCGAGATGGGAAAAGAGCGAACCGAAAGACACTCAACTTCAACGAA